GTGTGTGTTCATTGTGATGTGAGAACCTATCACTAACCTGAAGTTCTCTTTTGATTTCATCATCTTGTCTTTTATTTTTTTCAAAATTCACCTATGTACATCTATAGGACCCTTCTCGTGTTGGTGCGGCAGCCAATCCTCTCTTAGGCGACAATCAATTAGATACTGTGATCTCTCGGCGAGATGGTGGATCGGGCACGGCAAAGGATTTGAATAAAGTCCACGGCAGAGCCACCGCCATCAAGGGTGAACGAAACTTATTACAAGCATATAAGGAGATCAGCGCAATGTGCGATTCTATCTCGTTATCGAAATTGGTCAGCGATACAGCCAAACAACTTTATAAACGAGTCGAAGACGAAAAACTATTGAGAGGTAAAACCAGTGACGCCATCATCGCTGCCTGCATCTTCATTGCTTGTCGACAGGAAAAAGTGGGCCGTACGTTCCGTGAAATTTGTGCATTGACGAGAGTGCCCAAGAAGGAGATTGGACGATGTTACAAGGCTTTGCAGAACAAATTACAAACCGATACAGCGGTGATGAACAGTGAAGATTTGATGTCTCGATTCTGTTCGAATCTCAACCTTCCTGCGTATGTGCAAAAAGCCGGTGTCGACCTCGTCAAACGGGCCAAGGATTTGGGTACTTTGGCTGGCAAATCGCCCATTTCCGTCGCGGCAGCCTGCATTTATCTCATCTCATTCTTATTTCGATATCCAAAAAGTACAAAAGACATTGCTCATATCGCCGGTGTCTCTGAAGTCACCATCAAGAGTGCATATCGTCAATTGTTTGGGGAACGAACAAAGTTGATCGACTTGGACTCTCTTAAAGGTAAACCCAACACGGAAGGTCTAACCTTTGACGACCTTCCTTTGCCGTAAAACCATCTCGATGTTCCTGTGGGGCCCATCGTGACAAATGCTTTCACACAACCCACCTCAAAAAAAAAAAGAAGAAAAAATTATACACAACATTACATACACTTCACTCATACATTCTCTTTATTCATCTTGTTGTTCTACAAGATGTTGAACATTACATTTATCATTTTCTCTTTCTTTTCTTGGGTCTCTTTGTTCGTCAGTGGTATTGTATAAAATAATTGAATAAAATTGTAACTGCCTTGCATCACTGGTGTATCATTGCCATAGCACATTATGCTGCATCTTTCATGAAATTTTTGCCTTGCTTGTTTGCTTTCATTCCTATCTGCATTTTCCATCCTCCTTAACTAAGGGGCCCATGGTGTCCATTTTTGAAACATCAGCTGTTTACCCAAGAGGATTGACATCGTTTTTTGCTGTTTATGAACTCTTGGTTGGGGATGATTATTCATAGTATTGTGTTTTGATCGCGGAAGAACGGAAGAAGAGACATCGTCACTAGGATCATGAGTGGAGTGGCCAATTGTGACAATTTGTCAAATAGAAGAAGAACCTGTCAAACCTCCTTCGTTCCTGATCTCCAAGGCCTGAATCTATTCAACCGTGCGCGCAGAAACGTGTGTAAGAGCACGGACAGATGTAGGGACGTTTTATTTTCCCTGGGATTTCTAATCTTTCTCTACGCGTGCGCTTCTCCTGTCAAGGGGGTATTTGGGGCTTTCTGTTATTGGGGGGAGAGGCAGCGGAACTCACGTCACAATCCACGTGATGCTCCACCTTATAGCACCTCTGGCACTATGCTGCCCTAAGGCAAAAAACTATGGCATCTCCATTCCTGTCGTTTCTGGCCATCATACCGGCAGCTTTGTCTGCCTTCTTTGTATTTTGGCATAGACGTACCTATGGCCAATTACCCATTCACACCGCTGATGTCGCTTACCAGCGAGACCAGTACCGCGACGTACTAGACTGGGATAAATATGCATTGTCCATTGAAGGCAAGCCTACCATGATATTCAGTGGGGAGTTTCACTACTGGCGTCTTCCAGATAGAACTCGATGGGAAACCGTACTCAAGCAATACAAGTCGGCGGGTCTGAATACCATTCGTATCTATTTTCATTGGGGATACCATTCACCGGCCGAAGACGTGTATCATTTTGATGGAAATCGCGACATTGAATTCCTCTTGAGCTTGTGTGAAAAACTCGGCATCTATGTGCTCGCTGCACCTGGTCCTTACATTTGCGCAGAAACAAATGGCGGTGGCTACCCGGCGTGGTTGGTTGCCAAACGACATCTCCGCATTCGGCATAACATGGCTATGCTGTGGAGAAGCTACGATGACGAATTCGCCATGTACGAAGTCGAGTGGTATCAGCAATTGCTTCCTATTATTGCTCGCCATCAAATTACCAACAAATCCAAAGGTTGTGTCATCGGAGTTCAAATCGACAATGAATTGTTCGAAGTCATGCATGGCTTACTGCCGGTTGGTTTGCATGATCAAATGCGCATCTTGGCTAAAGGTGCAAGAGATGCCGGAGTCACGGTTCCTTTGTTCACCAACGATGGTTTTGAAGAAGGTGGTTGGATCCCTCGCACCACCTTTGCACGAACGGGTATGCCTCATCGTGATCAAACAAAGGGCTTTGGTATTGACTGGTATGGCTTTGACAAATATGTTGGTAAGTATCGCCGTTATTGGTTTATATGTATAAGAGTAGTGATGAAAACATGTTCAAATACACTGGTTCACATCTAAACTTATATCCACACTTTTCTCACTTCCACTATTGCCTTCAGTCTTCGCTCCATCAAGTTCTCCAAAAAGTTGGCTCATTGATGATGGTCAAGGCGCTGGTGAATGGTCAGACTGGGATCCTCGCACCGTCAAGAATTCCGTTGATAAACTTGAGAAGACTGTCAGAGGATTCGGTGGTGGTGCAGCTGAGGTTCGTTGGTACTCTTTATGATTTCCCCCAAAAAATACTGTATATGCTAACCCTCCCCCCCCCACTAGACACCAATGTTTATCCCAGAATTGCAAGGCGGTTGGTTCAATCACTACCTCCTTAACCACACTTATGACGAAATATACGACTTTTTCGGTGAAAATTACACCAAACTGATCCTAGACAGCATGCTAGCCCAAGGCATAACCATGAATAGCATTTACATGTTTTATGGTGGTACCAATTGGGGCATGTTAGGCGACCCGTAAGTTATTGTTTTCAATGCACTGCCTAACACTACACCATCTCATGCCTTTACCCCCAAACAGTGACGTCTACACAAGTTACGATTACTCGGCCTGTATCAGAGAGTACGGTTACATGTCTTCACGCCTTCGAGCTGTCCGACAAACTGCATTATTTGCTAGATCATTTGGCGTTTATTTTGCAAAGACGGATCGTGTCAAGGTGCCTAATATTACTCTATCGATACCCGATGTCCTGAATGCCCAACGCATCACTGCACCCCAAGAAGCTGACCAGCAGGTAGAATTCAGCTTTTTGCGCAACTTTGATCCGAAGAAGCGGGATACTTTCCAAGTGCAAGTGCCGTTTGTCTCCTCCAATAACCAATCTACTACACTTGCTCTTGGCTGCCAGCTACCCTATAAGCAGACCATGACAGCAGTTGGAAACTATGTGGCGGCTAATGGAGCTCGCCTCATCTTGTCAACCTTACCCATCCTTACCCGAATAGTAAACGCTCAAGATGAGGTGTGGATTGTGGCTGGCAACACCATCGGCGAGATTGCCTTCGATAACACTCAAGAAGATCTGGAGTTCACCGGCAACATGCGTCACTCTGTAAGAGACCAAGGCTCAGCTGTTGTTATTGGTTTTGGCGAGCATCAAGGATGGACAAAGGTGTCAAAGGCTGGCAAGAGCATGTACATTGTTTCTCTCGCCCCAAGTGATGTCGCTACTTTGTATGCTGATTTCCATGACCCTTATTGGCATCAAACCGAATCCACATCTCAACCTACAATTGTGACGTGGGGCTCTGATGGTGCATTCTACAACCGTGCAGAGGGCAAACTCGAGTTTAGCCACAATGATCAAGAATCTGATTTGCACGTTCTCTCGTTTGACAAGATGTCCCTCGCTTCGGCTCAAGACAAATACAACGTTCCATTTATTTATCACCACTCTTTGAATCACGTCAACAAAGACGATACTACGTTGCAAATCGCCTTGACCAACTGGGAGTTCCGCTCCACTGATTTCGAAAACTTGCCTTGGTCTGGGCTTGTTCCTCACGGCAAAGAAAAGGTTTCCTGGGATGCTTTAGATCACTTGTACACCAGCGGCCACATTCTGTACCGAACCACGTTCAAAGCTGAGCAGGGCAAAAATGTGACTCTTTCTGTCAATGCACGTAACCGAGCTACTATCATTCTCAATGGTAAGATTGTTGGCGGCCACACAACGTACTCTCGCCAACTGTTCATGCCTGGAGCCAAAATTGGCCCTGACCCATGGTTTTTGGGAACCCAAAAGTACACCTTACCCAGCGCAGCGTTGAACGGAGACAACGACCTTGTCATTGCCATCGACAGCTTTGGATTATGTAGACAAGCATTCATCATGAACGACATTCGTAATCCACGAGGAGTTATCTCTGCCAAACTTGGTGGTCTAAATGCTGCCGCCAAAAAGGAAGCTGACGAAGGATGGAAGATCACGGGTGTCGATGTACAACAGCTTAGCAACCAATATGATACCACTGGCTGGCCCGACGAACGAAGCAAAAATCATCCTTGGGAAGCTTTGAATGTGGTAGAGGAACTCACTGCCCATCCTGTTTCCACATTCAAGGTGTATGCCGCTGACGGCCCACGATGGATTCGATTTTCCTTTGACTATGATCACCCTCTAGAGGTCCATGCTCCGCTCCGACTTCACCTTGACGGCGGCTTTACTGCTATTGTCATTTTGAATGACGTGGTGATTGCGCGCTACTATGGCAATGGCGACGGACCACAGCATGACTTTTATCTCATGGATGGCTTTATCAAACCTCAAGGCAACCAGATTGAAATGCTCGTGTATACTTGGAACGACGTAGACGACGCACAGGCTTTTATCTCCGGATGGCCCGTCATGCCTGGAAGCGGTAATTTGATGAAGCCCTTCGCCAAGCGTGTTCCTGACTGGAAAGTGCATTCTTCGCATTTGATTCTGTAGTAGGAGACATTAACTCGATATAAAGCAGCAAAATAAACAATCAATAGAAAGCTGGATAAATTTTTGTTGCAGAAAATGTCTCACAACGTTTCATTTTATTTCTCATTCATTTTCCCAAATTCGCAGACTCTTCCTTTTGTTTCATTCATGACGATTATTTCCAAAAACCAGCTTATCGAACGAATAGAGCACTCACAGAGCAGTCAATTGACGCCTATGCCCCTCACATCTGCCTTGTGCAAGTCGCTAGGTGTGCCCTTTGTCACCCAACAGAGAGACGAGTACGTGCTTTAATTTGCCTCCAAACACCGCTGACAAGGAAAATAATTTGACACACCGTGCATCTCATCCTAGCGTCGCAAAAGGCTTACAGACGAGCTGTGCGTCCATAGCAACACGACCTACCGCCTACTGGACCTCACTTGCTGTGCTTGACGTAGGCTTTTTCGACTGTTTGAATCTCTCCTTTCTTTACGCTTGAATTCACCCCCAACGACTTTATTCCAGTGCTCTAATACTATTGTGCTGGGATCGGCTGGTGCCGAAGATAACCTTCACTTTTACAAAGACCAAAGCTTAGATGATGCACTTGCGTATCCTCGCTTTCAGGTATGGATGGATGAGCTAAAGTTTGACAATTATGTAATACTGATAAACGCGGTCGGTGTTAGAATATCCCGTCGGATAAGTTTTCCGACCCGGTGCATTCATTGGCGAGCTATGAGGAAACGGTACTCATTGGCTCCAACCATGGTTTTGTAAAGATGCTGGATATTCATGGCATGGCGAACGATACGCAAACCATTTCCCCGCGGCAGGTAGCCCAATACGTCCCTCCAGGAAGCAATGTAGGTATGAGGGCTTTGTAAAACTTTCTCTTCTGCTGTCAAACTTAAACCATGGGCTAGTATGACCCTTTAGCTACACCGGGTATCCCAATTGCCAACAGCCACGTCAAAGCCGTTCAGTTTTCTAGAAGATACACGTTCAATCCAGACGAATGCTACCCTGTCAATACACTCAAGTTTTTCATGGTCGTTGGTTCCGCCATGCATATCTGGGATGTTGAACATCAGGCAGAACCAATTTATTCAAGAAAGGTGAGGTTAAAAGAAAGCGTTTGGCGTAGGAAGCTCCCCCCCCCGCACCATAGGACTCAATGGTACTTTATTTACATTGCTCTAGTTTGGACCCTACCCTCTTAACAATGGCCATTGGTCGCCACATGCTCCGTACAGCTTGGTTGCAACAGCTAGTACCGATGGAAGTGTGAATATCATTGACAGCCGAATTTCTCCATCTTCAGCTCCAGCATGGACATCGACACCTCGCGCTCATCGGCCCAGTGTGCGGGATGTCAAGTTCAGCCCTATCATTCCATACTGGATGGCAAGTGCAGGTAAGACACAAGTGGAACTAGATGGAGTGACAGGATACTTACATGCTTTGCTTGCAAAGACGATGATGGTGTAACCCAGATATGGGATATTCGGTTTTCGCATGCCGTGGCCGAAATAGACGGCCATCGCAAACCTGTTAACTCGGTAAGGGGTCGTTTTATGGACGGAGAATTAGACTGTGTACTGGCTAAATCTGCTCTAATGTAGTTGGCGTGGGGTAATATGCATCCGGAAATTATATGCACTGCATCGTCCGATCAGACATTCAAAATGTGGTCGCTCACGCCAGGCTCTCTTCCTGTGCACAATGCGTACAACAGTTTTGTCGATGTGGAAGACGAGTATTCGCCAAAATTCATTTGCAGTGGAGCTGAGGGCATTGGACAGTGGTCAAGCAAAGACTCCAGTCTTCTGTTTGTAGGCGAATTCAGAGATCCATGCCTCAGTCCTGTTGTTCACAGTAAGTGATCCAATCGATAGCGAGATCCCCAAGAAGGAGAGTGGTATGATTAAACACTCTTATTTCACCCTAGTCCGACCGTCACAGCATTGGCGAAACTTGTACTATTGCATTACCTGCAACGGCCAGCTCAGTGCACTGAATGTTCGACGAAACACAAGAGAAGATATTGTCCCTCATCGGTAAGTGCCTTGTTCACTTTACGACACCAAATGCTCATTCCAGTGAAAAAATTAATTCTGGAGATTGCAGTTACGATATTGAAAAGGACCCTATGGCTTTTGATATTGAGAAAGATGTATTTGGGCGAGAGATAGGTAAAGCACTTGAGAACCTGGATCTCCTGAAATCCACACCGAATCCGGATGAAAGGTAAATAGCCATGGTAACTTGCAGACCCGATGCTTTTACTGAATGAAACTTTGCTGGTCAGGACTCTCGCCATCATTCGCGATCTGGAGGAAATTATGACGTTCACGCCGCCTATTGACCCCAGTACATGGGAACTTGGCTCGTTGCCAAAGCTAGACAAACATCAGTCTCGACTGTGGAGTATAAACGATATTCAACAGGCTGGGTTAGAGACATACGAAGCGGAACTCACCCACTGGACAAGATATATGCCACCTGGCCTCACTCGGTCCTATTTAGACCAGGTAAGAACGCTACATCCCATCGAGATCGGTTTCCCTCCACTGACTCCTCCCTTGGTTTTTTTTTTCCAGCACCTGCCCAAGTCACTCGTCAAAGTCGTTACAGAGATCCATGATAGTCCTCCTCAACCGATAGAGGAGGCGATGGCATCCGAAAACTCTTCCCTGTTCGAGTCCGTGTTCGAGGAACCGCTGGTAAGCTATCCTACTGCCACTACGTTTTTCAGCGCCAGCAGTCAGGTGGACCCTACCGATAGCAAACCTCCAAAACCAAAACATCACTGGAAGCCAGCTCTCAGCTCCATCCGCCGTACCATGTCACTCAATAGACGAAGCAACAAGGTGGAGTCTAGATCTGCTTCTGAGGACGACACGTCCACCCTTATATCTCGCAAATCAACCAGGCGACATGGGTTATACTAGAAGTGGTGAAAGGAAACGCCCCTATGTATACCTACCTAAACCGCTGTTTTGTAATTTTTCCTTGGTTGTACATGTATAAAATCGGTTTATTGTTGGACCCCAAAGTAAAAAAAAATATATAATTATGAAATCAGAGAAACCGCCAAGGTTGGGTTGTTGTTCTTACAACTTCACGCCAAAGCTGTAAATGGTCTTGCCCTTGTACTGCTCACCAGGAGTCAACAAGACACTAGGGCGCCAGTTTTCGTGGTTGGGAGCATCGGGGTTACGAGAGGTCTCAAGACAGAAACCAGAGAATGGGCCGATGCCAGGAGCATTGTTCTGAGACTTCTTGCCGGTAAAGACGTTCTCAGCAATTCCCTTACCAGTGTAGAACTGGAATCCAGGTTCAGTGGTGGCCATGCTCAAAGTGATACCGGTTTGAGGGGCATGGGCCACGAAGACGTCCTTTTGCATGGGCAGACCGGTGGTATCGAGAACAAAGGTGTCGTGGATCACGTAGGGATGATCGTAACCACCGCCTTGAACATCATTGACACGCGATCCAATGGTCTTACCGGCGTTGGATCCAGTAAAGTCCATAGGGTTAACATCAGCCACTGGGATGACCTTACCGGTGGGCAAACAGTTATCGTCGACCTCAAGGAAGCCCTTAACGCCGTTCATGGTGACCTCAGTGTCAAGAATCTTAGGGTCAAGTTCAACACCAGCCAAGTTGAAGTAGGTGTGGTTGGTCAAGTTGAGAACGGTAGACTTGTCCGTCACAGCTTCATATTCCACCTCAAGCTCATTGGCATCGGTGACGGTGTAGGTAACATACGTGGTCAATTTTCCGGGATACCCTTCCTCACCGTCCTCAGAAACATAGGTGAGACGAATGGCGGCTGGGGACTCGGACACAACCTCCACATCCCAAATCTTCTTATCAAAGCCCTTGATACCTCCATGCAAAGCGTTGGGAGTGTTGTTAATGGGGACCTGGTATTCCTCTCCATCGATGGTGAACTTGCCTAGACCGATTCTTTGGATAATCACCCCAGTTTTAGAGTTTTACTCATGCCGTTTCTTACACCCTACTGCGCCTCTTACCTGTTTGCATAACGACCGACCAAAGCTCCAAAGAAGGGGTTGGCAGAGTTCAAGTAGCCCTCGTAGTTATCGAAACCAAGCACAACGTCTCTGATATGACCCGACTTGTCTGGGGTAAGGATATGGGTAATGGTACCGCCATAGTTCAAGACCATGACGGCCAAGGTCTTTTGCTGGTTGATCAAAGTATATTGATCAACGCCAGCCTCGGCGGATAGACTAATCTTTGTAACAGGCATAGTGAGAAGTGAAGGAAAAGGGTGAAGAGAGACGGAGCTCCCATGGAACGGTATGCCATGGTTTAGTGTGACCGCTAGTGAGATCCGCCCGCTTGACCCCCGCTTTGGTTAAGTAAGCAAACCAGATACTGGCCTATTAATTTTTTTTCAATAGCACACATACCGAAATCTCATACCTATGCAATAAAATCACTATAACCGTGCTGTATGTTCCCTATGATCCAGCGCAAGATCTCAATGGATCTATGCAAAACGGTGTGTGGAGGCGGAAAATGACTGGGAAATTTTCCCCGTATGACAACAGTCAGGCCTTGGCCACCCTTATTTGGCACCTTGAATTTCCCGGTTGGCTGGCTGACCACGTCGTTGACTCAATTCTGGGCTCTTTACATCAACCACTGGGTGGCAAACTGTGACTGCCCACACCTCCTGCGTTTAAATGAGCAGCGTTGCATGAACTCCTTTCTTTGATATGTTTTGATTAGATGTCATCGTTGACCACAACAGGTAGCGTTTAATGAAAGAGATGTTGAGTAGGAACGAAGATGAAGAGAGAGGTAAAAGATTTGGCCGCCCGACGCGAGCGAGCAAGGCAAAATTCAGCACCACTGGTAGGCAGATCGTCTCTAACAGGATACGATGCCTCCTAACACGACCAAACAGATGAACAACACTGTCCCATTCTGATACGACTTGCTAGGCCCATATTGAGTAAAGGGGATAGAAGGCAGAGAAGCTTAAGGCTGCAAGGATACCCACCTGAGACGCGTACATACCCAGCATTGTATAAAAGCCTAGGGATATGGTCCTGATATACCGTCGGATCCTGCAACATCGGATTCATCTCAGGCAAAGAAGCTCTTCATAGATTAATGTTTCATCTGGAAATGCATTCACTGGAGATCATCTTTAGCGGACTGTGTTACGCAGCGTCTGCTTGAGGAGTTGGAATATGATGTCAGACCCCTTTGAAAAAACTTTCTTTAGCTTCTTTTTCCGCACTTGTTAATTGGTCGAAAATATAGCCAATGAAGTTGGAAAAAGTAGTACTGTCAAAATTTTGTTTGCTTTCATGATGCTGCATGGCAAGGGTCTCACCAAAGAGGTAATGTGGCGTAGAAGGCGATCATGGACTCCTGCAACGTATTCACTACAAGGGTGATCAAACGATGGATTGGATCGATGGCACTTTGGCGTATATAGCAAAGGCACGTGTGAACATGAGCAAGCTTGGTAACTGTAGGATCGAGATGCAAGCTTGTTTCTAAGCCAGCTTAATTAACAGTATCCGGTTATTCAAAGAACAGCATAGGTCGACGCGCGATTCTGCTGCCATTGACAAAATAGCGCTAACCACCCTCTTGACGGCATTGTTGAATAGCCAATTCTGCACTATCTTTCGGCTCCTGAAAAACTCATTTTAGTATCATAATTCGATAACGTCAGAAAGTTCATGGCTGGCTGGCCACTGCACTGCACAATGGTGTAGACTCACGGTGGTCGATCGATCGCCTTGATGTAGGGACAACCTTCGTTGGTATTCAATTTTTTTAATTGCGTGTAACTGTCTAGCGTACCTACCTTATGAAGGCAAGCGTCACGAAGTCCTTTAGTGCCCCGAGTCGGAGCGACGCTATGCTACTCATCGGACCCACTTCTTTTTTTAATTTTTTTTTTTCCCTTTAATAAAGCTTATAGGCTATTGACCACTTCTTGTCTTTTTTCTTCTCCACTTGACGTTCCTGGCCTACCATGTCTCATTCAGAAACGGGAACGCCGCCGTCCTTCGGTAAGACTCGTGTTCAGTGAACTGGTGTGCCTCGCAGCCTACTAACCACCGCCGTAGAAGAAAAAGATGTTTATATCGATCCGAAAAGTCTCACACATCATTCGGATAAATCCAACAGTGACATTGTAGAAAGGTACACAGATGATGAAAAACGACTCCATTTGGATGACCTCAACCGGCACACCGACGAGGAAGAAGATCCTTACACTCACGGTGATCCGACTGAATTGAAGGAAGCTGATATTCAAGACGATCATATCGATACGGATGTTGAACCACAAACTCGAGAGCAATTCGATTGGGACATTGTGGACGATGACGACAGTCTTCTGGAAGAGAACAAGCCAACTGAATCAAAAATAGGCAACAGCCGCTTGTTCCAGTGCTTGGCATCCAACTCATCCTCCATCGCTTGGTCACTCAATATCGTTTTTGGCTTAATCGTCATTGGTGTTGCCATCATTATCCACGTCGTATACGACGACTTGGAAAAGCCGGATGCATCCGTCGGACTATCTAATATTGCCTTGAGCTTGGAGCTCTGGTTCACATGGCTCGCCTTCATGTGGGTTATATCGGTTGCCATGCACTTTTTTGTTGAAGTCATTCCCTGGTGTATCAAAACCCTGTTCAAAATCATTATGCCCAGCAAGACCGAGATTACTCGCATGCGACTGGCTGTAAGTTGCACGAATTCACCATCCCATATACGTCATACCCTTCTTTCAATATCATTAATTCACCTCTCTTCACAGTACTACAATGCCCTTCGAACGTATATCAAGCTGATTCTGATCTGGGCATGGGGCTGGGGAGCTTGGGCTTTCCTGAGAGTCTTCCCCAATAACTTAACAAGGTCTGATCGACAAGCCTCCTTTGGTTACACCGGTACCTTTCAAGTTATTTGGCAGTGCTGTTTCTTTTTGGCACTGATGGTCTTTATTGAAAAGTTTATTTTACAATTGATTGGTCAGTAGGCAAGCTTTTTCCTAACCTTCTAAACCATCCCAAGTACTGATCCACATCTGTCTTCAGTGACCGCTTTCCATCGCAAGGCCTACAGCACTCGAATTGCCCACAACGACCATGCTTTGACTGTCCTGGATCGACTCAAGAAGGGCAAGCGACGATTCAACTATGGAAAAGGACGCCGAACCAAATCCAGCTCCAACACCAACAGTGCCCGTCCATCGCTGGAAAACAGTCAACGAGATAGCATTAGTGGTGACGATATGGGGACTTTGCCTATCGATGAGAAAAAACGTACAAACCGAAAGCTCAAGCGGAATGGCGATGAAAAGTCCAATGTACGTTTTGCTAGAAACGATACTCGCATCCCCATGCCAGACGAGAAGATGAAGGACGAAACCCCAGCTTACCTTGGACGACCCAGCATGCCCTCCAGACCATCCTCCAATGACTTTTTCTCCACCTTGACTCAAAAGCTGAAGGGTCTCAAGGCCAATGAAGACTCTCCGCGTCAACAGAATGACCGTCCCACCATAAGTCGTCTGTCTTCACGAAGCAGCACGTTCGACTCGGCGAAAACGCTTGTGCACGGAGGAAAAGATACGGCGCTGGCCATTCCTAATCTGATCAAAAACGGGTTTAATATCAAGTCGGTCTACAATACCATTTTGCCGCCATCCGGAACGTCTCAACAGCAAGCCAAAGATCTTGCCAGGCAGATCTACGCCAGCTTGAAACCAGCTGGCGCGGATCGAGATTACTTGGTGGAAGCCGATCTGTACAGTCACTTCCGCACCAAGGAAGAAGCAGCTAAAGCGTTCCAACTCTTTGACAAGGACGGCAATGGCGACATTTCCCGGCGCGAATTGCGTAATGGTTGCATTCGCATTTACAAAGAACGCAAACTCCTATCGGCGTCCATGAGAGACTTGTCTCAAGCTTCTGGTAAACTCGACGTGATTCTCCTGACCATTGCTGCCATCATCTGGGCTGTCATTGTCTGTGCTTCGTTCGGTATCAACGTTGGTACCTCGCTGATGCCTTTGTGGACCATGTTTGTTGCTGTCAGTTTCATCTTTGGTAACAGCGCAAAAGACATGTTTGAAAGTATCATTTTCATTTTCGTGACCGTGAGTTTTATCCCCATTTCTTTTCACTGTGCCCATACTTGATCTGACGTTTGCTCCTTCTAGCATCCTTATGACATCGGCGATCGTGTCTTCATCGGTACGGAAAACTGGCAAGTGAAGAGCATGGGGTTGCTTATTACCACATTCCTGTAAGTTGCATTGACAAGCCGTTACACAGCTTGCTGTATCCAACATGATCCATGTCACTAACGTCTATGTAACAGTAAATGGGATGGTACCACCGTCTATGTAAAGAACTCAGTTCTGGCTCCTCTATATATTTTCAATGTCTCTCGTTCTGGCCCTATGGGCGAGACAGTGGGTAAGATATTGTTTTTAACTACTATGGTCATCGAATGCCAAATACTCATGCATATTGTTCCCTTAGACATTCATTTGCACTTCAGAACACCAGCTTGGAAGATTGATTCGCTGCGCGATCATATGCAAGAGTGGTACAATACCGAAGGCAAAGGTTTTACTTATAACAGCCATGGTATGAATATCATCACGTTTGATCAGCTCAACAAGATCACAGCAACCATCTACATGGAGCATAAGCAAAATTGGTCTGATAGTGGAAAGCGCTGGGCGTCAAGAAATGCGTACATGATGAAACTGAAGGAAGTCTTGGAGACTTTGGAGATCAGCTACACTCTGCCACCCATGCCAGTGGCCACTCGCAACGATGCTCCTGACGAAATTTATAACTTTGGCAACAAGACTGGATATGGTATGGAAGGCCTTGCCTCCGGCGGCAGTAGCGACAGCACCCATTACCGTAGAGGTTATAGGTACTCTGAAAAAGGCCAAGATGGTATGCTTGGTGGGGGTGGCTCGACTGCAGCTGGAGGATCCAACGACGCTGCCCCTGGTCCAGCTGCTGCCCTTGTTTTTGCTTCGCAAATGTAGAAGCCCACCACCTCGTTCTTGGTCGCTCGTGTATACCCTTCAATTAGACTTATCTGGACTGTTTTCAAACAGAAATACATACTCTTTTTTAGTTTTTTTGGAATGTTTGCTCCACATTCTATACCCATCGGTGTATATATACTCTTCTTAACTTATGTATTGTAACTTGAGGCCTTGTTGTAAATTGGCAGATAAGCCAGACGCTCTTTCTGATGAAGATCATGTTTCTCATTAAAAGTGCTATTATATCCTACGTACAGGTTGGATTGTGTTCTGAAACCTAGCATAATATCGCCTGTCATTTATCAGTGATCGCTAGTTTTGACTACAATAACATGGAAATGGGAGGATGTGAGACTTCTTCTAAAATACCCGAGTTTCAGAAAACGTCAGTGCTTTGAAAGAGGTCCGTGTGCCGCCCATGGTTGCCTCACGCGGGCGGAAAAAATTTGAACAGTAGTGTTGTGATCTCCTGGCCCGGAAATTTCTAAACACAAATTAAACGAACACACCCTATATATATATACTTCACGTATCCAGGTACAGTATTCTCTAACCAAAGAAACCAAGATGATGCATTTCACGCTTCTAGGTAACTTGTGCTCTTCGTGCACAGCATACGTTGGAACGATGTCCCAGGCTAACTTGCATTTGATTAGGTTTGGTCCTTGCTGGATCAGTAGTAGCAAAAAACGTTACTTATAACGTCGTTACTCTGGATCCAACCGTGAACAGAATGTGCGTCTCGATCGATGATGCCGTGTATCTCCTTTCAAAATCCCGGGCCTCTCCGTTACTGTATACTGGCCAAGGTCCCATGGGGTCTTCATACAAATACTGCGTTGTCGATCATGAAAACAGGGTTTCTGAGAGTGAAGAATTCTCTCGTCCTGGTACGATCAAGGGCAACTCCACTATGAATGAAATTTACAAAAGAACCCAAACCGTGCATGACATTCCCAAGCTTCCAACGCTCTGGAAATATAACTACCAAGATAGCCTTAATCCGCTACTGCATCCCGACGGTCACATTGCTACTATCCACTTTCAGTCGACGAAGAATGCCGCGGTAGCTCTCCACTCCAACGTTACCGAAGACGTTAAAGTTCTTGGAAATCTGACGTTTATAAGGTAAGGTGATGTCAAAATACACAATGGACCAACGCCGAGCGAAATTAAAAAAAAAAATCTCCTTTTTTAGCCACAACGACGTTCAATTTATCAAAGAAGCGCAGATTAAGCTCTCGGGCCGATCATCCAGAATGTGGGCCAAGCAGTCGTACAACATTAAAGTGAAAGGCAAAAAAGAGGACCTTTACGGTCTTAAAAAGTTCAAATTGCGAGCTGAGCCAAATGATCCAACTTATATGCGAGAAAAGCTGTACTACGACATCCTCAGAAAGAGCGCCTCCGTCCCCGCCCGAGGAACTTCCTGGGTTCGGTAAGAAAATGCTAGGTGATTTTAGAATAACCCTTCCAATAGCATGGTACTCAATGAAATTTTTTCACAGTGTCATCATGGATAACACGCCCATTGGACTCTTCTTGATGGCGGATCAGCTAGATAAGCATTGGCTCAAAGCTGCCTTCAATGGCGACAATGATGATAGCACTACCGGTGTGCTCTACATGGGCAATTATGTTCTCCAGAACAGCACAGCCAAAAAGCAATATACATCGGATTTGTCGTATTTGGGAGATGATCCGCTTTCCTATGGAGTCAATGACGCCTACTTGTTGAAAGCTAAATCGTCCGACAAAGAAAATAAGGACTTTACCAGGCTGGCGGAATTCACCAAGCAAATTGCCGACTCCAAAGGACTCTCTGCCAAAGCATGGAAGAACATCATGGATGTCGACGTATTTCTCATAAAGTAAGTTAAATCAGTTTGGGTTGGGTGTATCCAATGATCTAATGTGGGTTGCCCGACTTTTCCAGCATGGCCATAGAGTTCTTGCAAGGCCATATGGATGGATACCAAAACAATCAAAACAATTACTATGTCTATGATCACAATGGCAAGTGGACCTGGCTCTCCAATGACGTGGACTATGTCATGGGCAACTCTATTGGTAATCAAACCAAGCTCTGGACCGGCGACTACACTCAGTTTGGTGACATGTCAAAACGGCCACTCATGAAAGCGATCTTGGCTGTACCCGAGTTCCGTACTGCGTATGAACAATGTATTACTCGACTTGTGAACCAATTGTACAACCTGGATATTCTAGGACCAAGAATCGATGCTCACCAGGCGATGCTTTCTGAAGACGTCGCATGGGACCACAGCTTACCAAAAATGATCAATGAGGTATCCAACCCTGGTTTGGAAGGAATCGAAAAGATCCAAGACTATGTATCAAAGCTGACAAAGATGGACGCTGAGATTGATGTTAAGGATTACCATGAACGATTGCATTCTCCCAATTTAACCTTTGAGCAGGCTATCAATGGTGTCACCGGTCACTCTACTCTCTACGGACTAAAGCAATGGATTACAAACAAGGCAGAGAATATCAAGCAGTCCCTGCATATTTCTTAAGGAGAAAAATCTCCCCAAATGTTGTCATGACCGACAAAGATTACCACCACATTACTTCACATCCTTCCTTCTGCTTGTTCTATGTTTACCAAACGCCATTTATTTCCCAAGAAAAACAATAAAGTATCATAAGAATACTCTGTCTTGCCCATTGCTGATTAAATAAGAAGCAAATTTATGCCGACCAAGGAGGTCAAGAACCTTCTTGTAAAGTTTCTAGTTATAACCTCGACAACACATATTTCCAAGCGACATGTAAGACGTTTGGTCTGGCATAATGACTCCGGGGTTTCCGGCATGACAAATACAGAGGCGCTTTATTTTTGAAGGGAGTGCCTGATGACCCCTTCCTCTGATGAATGGATGTCGGATATTGGCTCATGCGTTACAGTTGGCGTTTCCATCAAGTGCACGTATACATGCGCTTCTTCTGTTTAAAAAGCGGGCTCTTGCATTTTTGCTCACTTATACGAGAAGCGGACTGGCCTATGAAACAAAGAATTTTTTTCTTTGCACTCTCATCTTGATTGACGCAGTATGTTTCAAGACCATGGAACGTACCATTTCCGGCGTTTCTAGCGTGACATTCCGTATTTGGACAAAATCAGGTCGGGTAAACCAAAAATCCAACACTAAAAAATTTCACATTATATAAACCCTAGCTGAAGACAACAATGGCGAGAGACGCTCGGCTACTTCTTCATGAAAGTCAAATTTTACTCAAGTCAGTATATATCTAATGCTAAGATCATCATTCACCATCATATACTGACCTATGGAATCTAGCGTTATTGCTGAGCTCCGGCGTGTTAGCCGCAAACTCGACATACAAGGTCGTAACACTCGACCCGAATTACACCAGATATGGAGTGACGATTGACAATACCACGTACCCTCTTAATCAATCACCCGAATCTCCATTGCTGTACACTGGACAAGCACCTTCGGGATCTCCGTACAGCTACTGTGTTCTTGATGCAGCCAACGCAGTAGTTCAGCAAGAGCTTGTTGCCAGACCCCCATTAGGTGGAAACGAATCCCTCAATGAAGTGTACAATAGAACCAACAACATTGTCGGCATTCCTGCGCTGCCTAAATTATGGGACGACGTCTACAAAACAGACGTATCTAACAGCCTGCATATAGACGGACAAATTGCCGTGATTCACATCCAGGGTAATGAAAGCGAGATTGAAGCGATACATAGTAACATCACTTCAGAAGAAAAAGTGGCTGGCAACATGACGGTTATCAGGTAAATTCATAGAAGTGGTCTTTGCTTTTTCCAGCATCACAATGCTCACACATTGTTTTAGTCCCAGTGGTATCAAGTTTGTAAAGGACATCAAGTTCGACTTGGCGGGAAGATCGTCACGCATGTGGCCAAAGCAATCCTATACAATCAATGTCAAGAAGGGTGGAGACCTTGACGGGCTTACCAAGTTCAAATTGCGTTCTTCAGCAACTGACCCCACCTTCATGCGAGAAAAGTTGTACTATGACATGCTCCGACTCAGCGCAGGGCTTCCAGCGAACGGTGCATCTTGGGCTAGGTATGTGAATCAGATGGGTTGACATATCATCGTATTGGGCACGCGCTTATACTGCCTTTCTCTTTAGAGTTATATTCAACAACAGACCTGCTGGCTTTTTCCTCTTCGTTGATCAGCCTGATAAAAAGTGGTTGGACGCAACCTACAATGGAAAAGACGACGGTTCTGACACTGGAATCCTTTACATGGGCAACTACGGAGCTCCTAGTCTCGATAGCCCCGTATTCCTCATCTCTGATCTCTCTTATCTTGGCGACAACCAAACCATCTACGGTGTAAATGAAACGTATAAAATCAAAGAAAAGTCATCTGACAAAAAGGACGAAGACTTCACTAAGCTCGCTGAATTTACAAAGAGCATTCAGAACTCTACAGAATGGAATGTCACCCAGTGGAATGACTTTATGGACGTAGACTTGTTTTTGAAACAGTAGGTACCTTTTTTTTCATGAATCTCTGAACCAGACAATTGACTAATCGTATGACAGTATGGCATTTGAGTTTTTCCAAGGACATATGGACGGCTATCTGAACAATGCCAATAACTATTTGTTGTATGATAACCATAAGCGTTGGACTTGGCTCTCTTCTGACCTTGATTTCACAATGGGCAACTTTGGATCCAACCAGACGGCTTTGTCAACGGGAGACTATAGGCAATATGCCAATACGACACGACCTCTTCTGAAGTCTGTACTGGCTGTGCCGCAATTTAACACAACTTACAGGGAATATGTCACCAAGATTGAACAGGAGCTGTATCATCTTGATGTTCTTGGACCAAGAATCGATGGTTTCAAGACGTTCATCGAAGAAGACGTCAATTGGGATGCCACCGTGGAGAAATTAAGCAAAGGCATTACAGCCAATACGAGCCAGATCGGTGATATTCCTCTTCCCTCTCTCTCCCAAATTCCCGCTGGCACTGTCACCGCGCCCGGAGGTGGAATTGCTTTTGACGTTTTAGCCTTTTCTGCTCGAATGAGCTCCACCAATATCACCTTCGACGCTGCTGTCAACGGAGAAACTAATTACACCACTCTCTATGGACTCAAGCAATGGATTGAAAATAAGTCTTTCAACGCCAACCAGTCTCTGTCTGCCAACTAAGGATCAATTTAGCACATGATTCAATTTTGGCTTTCGCTTCATTATATTGTATCTGTTTGTATTTCACCCTCTTGTATCGTTTAGAACTACTGTCAAGTACTCTATAGAAGTAGTGTAGTTAACTTATAGACGGAGATAGACGGTTTTCTACCGTATCATGACTGTTTCCAGATTAAAACTGTGAAGTTTTGTTTTTTAAGATTTGAAATCGCCAGGTGTCTGTTCGCATAAAGCCCTATTTTACTACACCTCAACACCGGGAACGCATGACCAGCTATCTGCAACCAAATCTGCCTTGAAAGGTTATTCCTTTTAGCTCTCGATAAGGTTATATAAAATGTGGATTAAGTAAAACCCGCAGGCATTGACGTTGATAATCGCAATGTTAAACTTGGCTGACATTGGCGTGCGCAATTCACATAAGTGGAGACAAGCGGCTTGTAGCTAGGATTGAGGCGAACCAAGCTTGGCAACAGGCGCCTAGTCACAACTTTTAGCCAGCCTTGTATGATATGTGAACGCGCTATAAGAACAGCAGATCACAAATATGTTTTATTCTCATAAACACATAGTTTGAAGTAGATTAATGTCTATCTGGCTTGCCATTGATGGCCGCCGCCCTCTATGAGAAAACAATCGTTTGGTCGGGAGTTCTAGAAGACAGCTAGTGGCGAATAGAATGTTCTCTGCCTCGAGAAAGTGTGGCGCGCATCTGATCTTACTGCTTGACTGGTCCCCAGAACAATCTTTTTAAGCCCGTAACAAAAAATAAAGGGGAAGGCACACTACACGATTGGTTGCATTTTTAAGGCATCATGAAATGCCTTGTTAGCCTTCACATTAATGATTTTTTACATGATATTTACGGAACATCATGGTACTGTACCTAGGAAAAACCTCTCGTCCCTCGGATATCAATGAATTATAGGCATCATGCAGAACTGTGTGATTTGAATATCTTTTGAGTGGTCATCTTGAGAGACTTCTTTATAATTGTAACACGCCCGAGCTGGTAGTGGACTTGCAAACTTGGGCCCATGGATATTAAAAATGAAAATGCCGGCAACGGAGGATAAGGATCAGGCCATGCCGTTTGTGGTAGCCTATCTTTTCATGCCCAATTTAAAATGCATGACAACAACCAAACAGTCAGGAAACAATTCGCCAATCCTCTTCTGCGACGCTGCATTAGATACACTCGGCATAGTAGCTGGTCAATTAAGGTTCCTTTCGGTACATGTGTAAAATTAAATAAGGGAGGCAATTCAAAGCCCAATACACCGCACCGCATCGCATGACAACGTAAGGATAGGTAGGCCTTGGTTCGAGTGGTATAGAACGGCAGAAACCCAAGGCATTGGGGCATCTTCACCTCGATGGCTAAAGAAGGTTTGAGAAAGGCTAATGGTTTTGTTTAGAAACGGGGTATCTCTGCAACGCCTATTGATCTCAGCACCTAGCAACGCTCTAGTAACTGAGGCATTTTAGAAAGGTATGACATCCCTCCTTTTCTGCCTTGATAAACTGAATTTATCGACCATATTGAATAAACTAGTTTTTCAAGTCCTTAAAATCCATTTGGTAGTGACACTAGCTTTCACTGGGCAATTCTTTACCCAAATATTCTTTGCTCCCTTAAATTACATCATCATAATTTGGGTGTAGCCGCAATTCAACCACTGTCGATCCCCAAGAAGGGTTTCTCGAAAAAAAAATAAGGTGCCAATGCTATGTTTCAAAAATAAAATGCTTGTGTTTGCGTGTACTGGGTGTTATACCGCAGTATCTTCATAAGCACATGAGTTCCGATAGACAGAATTCGCAAGGCAACAAGTTTTATAGCATCAACGTCATCGTACTCTTGTTCTGTACCGTATGACCGCCCTCAATTTCTCCCAAAATCTTCCATGATGCCCGTCCATTTTCAACTTCTAGAATTTGTTTAGTTTTCTCTTTGCATATGATGTGTATGTATGTGGCAAATTCAGAACGAACACAGCACGAAGTAAAGTAACAAGACTCTTGATATGCCCATGATTGACAAAGTAGAATTGATTACATCTGGATTTTCCGAAATGCAAAGTGTTGTCTAGAAAAAGGAAATACAGTGTTCTCAACAGCCAATGCACTCAGGAGTTTGAAGTTCTTGCAATTTGGACCGTGAATGTCCAAAATAATCCCACCTTCGTTGACTACACCGCCTCCTTTTTTATCCATGCTCGACTCAACGTATACCGAAAAAACCGTATGGGATAGTTTATAACCAGGACTTGACCAATCCTTCCTCTTTTTTCCTTCTCCTCTTCTTCCATCAAATCGTCTTTCCTCTCCTTCTCGATAAGAACAAATATACCTCGAACAGCTCTATCCAAAAAAAATAATTATGAACAATAGCAGCCAAATACCTTCATCTGCTGCATATGGCTATATTTACGGAGAACAAAATTGGCAAGATGTTGTGGATCAACCTGACAAAAAGCCTTACTCTAACTCTCAGCCGTCGGTGGGCATGGTTTCGCTTGCCTCCATCTCTCCGCCCGACAGCGAATTCTCAATGGATACGCCCAACATGAACACCACCTCCTGGAACGCTCAGGATACCTATAGCGTGGATGGTAGCATAAGAGATCCAGCTGAGGACGACAGTCCTTTGAACGAAGCTCCTGGCGAAGTGGAGGACAGGTAAGCTGATGTCCATCTGAATGCCATAAGGCTTAAAGCAATATTTAAACCCATCGCTTCCAGTCGTCGTTTAGCGCAGGATAAACGCAAGAGGCGACGTGAATCTCACAATGCAGGTAAGCGAACCTCGACTTTCCACGTCTATAGCCCAAAAAAATTGACCTGACTTTTCTTTCTCCATATAGTCGAGCGCAGACGACGTGAAAAAATCAATGAACGCATTCGGGTCCTGGGTGCGCTCCTTCCGGAATCGTGCCTGGATTACCATGGTAAAATTAATAAGGGGATCATTTTAAAAGCAACTGTGGATTATATCAGAGAGCTGCAAAGAGACAGAGTCAATACTCGGTGGAGAATACAACAACTTGAGCATGAGCTCGCTGTTTATCGCAAAGCTTACTGAACGAACGAAAGCTTTGTAAACCATGTATCTTTCATTTATCTGTTTCTTCATCATCATACCATGCAGTGCTTCCTTATTTTCATCCTTCATCATCCTATAAATTCATTGTGTTGACCGTGTTCTATGTGTCTCCTGTGCAGCCCCGACGGCAGATCAGGGTTGCACTGTTACCTGTTTGAACTAGGTGCTATGCAGTTTGAATTGGAACAAACGCCTCATATAGCCTTACAAACCTAAAGATCTGCGCATGAAAATTTCGTATAGTCGTCCTCACAAACCTTCGTTCTATATCCACCACAGAACTAATTTGAAGCTTGCAGGTCCATCCCCCCACCGGTTGTATTTGGTCAGATACAGCGTAGTTTACATAAGATGTTGTTGTTGAGCGACGTCAAAAAACGGCCTTCTTGGACAAAAAGCTCTACAGAGCCGCCCAAAAATCATTATATCCAATATGGAATATATTTATATAAAACATCTTGAATTCTTTTTCCATGTAAGGTATGATTCTAGTTGCTATAACAAGTTGTTGGTCTTAACAAGTACAGCATAACGGTGTATACAATAGTGGTGTACAAAACTTCTGGAGGGGAGTGTCTAAAGTAGAATCCAGTGGTATAAGGTATGCATGAGCATAATCAGACCAAGCGTTGACGCAGAAGAGACAACAATCAAGGTACTATCGCTGCTGTGAGGTTTCGCTTCAGGCGGGGTTGCTTCACCTTGTGGAAAGTTTTCAGCCTCCCATAAAATTAAGTCCCACAGCATGGTCTCGTTTCCAAACTGACAATCTTCCAAGGCAGTCACGACGGTGTTGTTGGAGGTGAAGTTGAAGGTATTCATAGGAAGTGGATACAAGCAACGAGGATACATATTCCAAAGATGGGCGGCGGACACAATGTAAAATGTATTTTGTCCATAGTTCTGGTTTGCCGTGAGGTTCGGTTTAATGGCAGGCCCGTGCAGGGTATTATTCCCAGTGCTTGGGTCGAAGGTGACATTTTTCCAGGATGGCGGAGTGGCACTGACGGTTTGTGGCATGAACATCCATTGTTGTTTATCTGGACGGATGGGCGTGTACGTGTTTACAAACCGGCGACTGAATGCATCACCACGACGTTGAAGGGGCTGTAGTCCGAGAGTGGGGTCGTAGACACCGCTGAACGACGGGTTGAGATTGAAATCTAAAGGAGTTGCCGTCATATTGTCGATTTCACACTGCCACATCACCGCGGCGTCGTCGATTCCTATTTGATCATCCCAGCGAGTCGATATGCATTTGTCATTTCCAGATGAAGAGTCGTCGCCATTTAAATGGTGTATACTGTAATTCGTTGCAGCATGATACTTCACAGTCCACAAAGTGCCATTGAACGCAGTAGAGTTTTGTCCATTGGAAGGTTGGATCTGATTGCCGTCTGCAATAAACTCGAGCCACTGACCGGTAACATGGTTTCTAAAGCTATAAAATCCAGTCTGATACTATTCGTTAGGAACAAAGACTATGACGAAATATGCTTGAAATGGAGCTTACAGGTATGTAGGTTGAATTTTGAATTGTTTGCGGGCCAGTGATATAGGCATCTGGATAGGTTGCTGCGTTCACAACTACAACGTAAGATATTGCAGCGATGTAGATACTCCGTAGCAACATTAGAAAGGAAGAAGATAAAGGAATAAAAAATGAATTTTGCCAAGATTAGACTTTTTACAAATGAGCGCATATCGGTTGAATCGGAGCTGTAATTAGGTGGCTTTTCGCAATTAACAGCTTGGAAAGCTATCGAACCGTAGAGACAGCATCGATTTTCTACGTGTTCATCCTATGTAAAATTAAATCTGTTAGTTGAGCAGAGGAAGAGAACATTTTGCGTACCATTTTTCATGGAAAGTAGTACAGATATGGCTTTGTGTGATTCGATCTCTGTCACATCATAAATAGCCGTGTTTATTTCAAATCAGAGGATATAGATGATCTATGTCAAACATATTACATTGGTACATAACCAAGCACGCCACACAAGTAGTCTATTTCCTATATACACAAGCATTACAGTAATGTCTATCAGTACACCTCTTTATTCAAGAGAGGCATGGATTTTGCTGGAAGGACGAATCTGCGCATGGTAGTTGTACTCGTGGCTCCACTCCTTTCGCCCATGTACCACATCACAGCACTCCGAACTGCAGGTTTTTTCATGTTTCTGTTTACAGGAAGGACATTGGATGAAGAGCAGGTGGCACAGCTTGTTGGCGCAATTACTCAACACATCGCATGGAGCGCCACATTGGTGACAATGTGCCAGCACGTCGTCGGTTATCCGCTCACCTCGTCTCCCATCAAATGTAAAATTACTTCCTCGAAATAACGAATTTTCCACCTTGTTCTCGTTGATATAATGCCCATAATTGGTGATTCCGCCTTTGAGCTAAGTAACATCATGTGGAATAAGCAATACGAAAACACATATGTCGATTTGAAATGGCCACTTACCATGTTCACATTTGTATATCCTTTGTTGGTCATATATGCTCCAGCAACCGAACAACGGATTCCTCCTGTACAATACATGTAGATCGCTTCATCTTTCTCCCGAGAGGCTACTAAGTCATCTAGTACTTTTAAACTATCACGAAAGGTATCCACGTTCATCTTCGTAGCATTCTTGAAGCGTCCAACATCACTGTAATAATGTGTTAAGTTTGTGATCGAGAAGTCACCTAGCGAACATCTTGAATGGGGATATACTAACTATTCGTAGTGATTGCGCATGTCTATTAGTAGGGTATCTTTGTCGCAATTAGATAGTTGTTGATGCCATTGATCTGGAGTGAGATATATCGGTTTTTTTGAGAGATCGCGATTATTTACAGCTGTTCCGACGGCCACCAGCTGTTGATGAAGAGAAAGGTTCAGCACGAGCATTCACATACAAAGGTATATAACGTAGTCAGCGTACATGCGGTTTTAGCAGAACTTTAAGGTTTCTAAAGCTTGGTTTCTCTGTATCCTCCATACCGTAGTTGTACTCGAAGGAGACACCACGGAACTGTGGCAATGTGTCAAAAACCGACTGTACAGCGGAAACTTGATGTACCGGTACGGATAATTGTGCGTTGATGCCACCAATACCACTATCCGGTGCCAGATAAATTCGCCCTACAGTATCCAATTTTTTCAATTGATTTCGTATGTTTGATTCTAGCGAAGGTAGACTTGTTTCTGGGAGGGCGTGTAGGGCATAAAAGGCAAGTGGTCGAAATGGTGCCGATGGTGCAAGGCTGTGTTTGGAACGTTGGAAACGAAGAAAAATGTGTTGAATAGAAGGACGACTTGCACAAACTGAACTCTGGTGAAAGTATGGGGCCAGCCAAAATCGACACATCGGCTGCATTGTGGTTTAATGAATCTGTTTGTGGTGTTGCTTTGGGTGCCTGGAATGCTAGAATGGAGTGGCAGAAAAAAAGTGTGACCGGCAAGCCCGGGCCTTCCTTGAAATTTGTGATCCAGCAACCCTGAAGCCATCATGATAATAAGTAGCAGATTGTTATGCTGAACATGACCATTGAAAGCGTGCTCAATCCATGTGCTCGGCATGATTATCTCTGGATATACTGAAAAGAAAGTGAATGATACTTTGAAGTAAAATAGCTGTGCATTTCAGTAAAAAAAAAAAAAAAAGAGGCAATTCATTCAGTATCTTGAGCAGCTTTTCACAAAGTATGACATGAAAAATCTCTATGACACTGCAGTCATCTGCTTTCTCCATCAACTCTTCTGCTTTACCTCCTTATTTTCAGTGCTGATATCGTTGATTTGGTTCGAACTCATTTATGGTAGAACTGCATTATGCTCGTATGATGGCAGCCAGCTTGAAACGCTTAGGTGACTTGTATGCCTAAATAGGCAATTGCGATGTCAGTCCCAAATTTTTGAGAATTGGCAAGAATGACATCAAAGCGTCTTGACCCATCTTTACCACTTTCCCTTCGATACCCATAATGAACGCCCTCAAGGCACTCAATAGATTCTATTCCAAGTCTTACGAGAAAGCCCCATTCAAAACGCTATGTGTCACTAATGGATGCCTGGCCGTTGTCAGTGATGTAACCGCTCAGACCATAACGTACGTCAACTGGAAGAGGTCGATGGAGAATAAGGCTACCAATCTAGATGAACGACTTCCACCTAAGCTTCAAGAACACGAAGATCTCAAACCTCGTCCACCACGTATGTTTGATCCTTATCGCACATTACGTTTTGCTCTGTACAACATGGCCGTCGCTCCCATCGTAGGACGATGGTTCATGTTTCTGGAAGCTCGATTTCCTATGCCAGCCGTTGCGCAAGCTACCAAATCATTGATCAAACCTTCCGACATGGTGACGTTGAAGCGTATGATAACCGATCAAACACTCTTCGCTCCAATGAGCTTGTGTCTGTTCTTTTCCGTCATGGGTTTTGTCGAAACAAAATCAGTCGAAGGCGTTAAGGAGAAATTCAGAGATGCCTACAGCCCTGCTCTCAAGGCAAACTATCAACTCTGGCCACTCGTACAGTTGGTGAACTTTAAGTTTACACCCTTGCCATATCGTTTGCCTGTGGTCAGCACGGTTGGAATAGCGTGGAACTCTTATCTAAGCTGGCTGAACAATGCGTCCAAGGAAGAAGAGATTGCCACCCAAAACTTCGAGAAAGCGGAAAGGCAGTACGACGGAACACGAGGAGAGCAGATCAAGCTCGAGATCTGAGGACGATCCAAAAAGTAACACATTGCAATGAATCCGGCCATTGCAACAATGTACCATAGCTATTCTTTTGTATATGCATATTAACATTTATTGTGGGGATGGCGTTCGAAAGGACTGTTCATAACATTATCGCACTTTCTGGTATAATAAAATCACTTTGCACGTAATGAGCTGGCCCGTGCTTTCGTGGATCCTTGTCAGAGGCAGTTCATTTTGCAACACAAAGGCAGCCTCTCCGTCATTTATTCGCGTAGCGTATTCGTGAATGGAACAGCAAGAGTGCGATCATACATTAGCTTCATGTTTCTTGTAGTCACCTCCTATCTTGCTTTATAGTAAATTGAGTATAAACATCAGCGGTCGCCAAATCAATATTGGCGTACACTAGTGTATACTACTCTTGAAATTTCCTGAGACACACTTCGTACTTGGTCTCTGTAACCGGGCCGGTCTTCGTTCCTCGGCTTTTTCGTGTCAAAGAGATCATTCCAATCTTTCATTCCAGTGGATCCGGTCTATTTAGATGGAATGGGTTTAGTTGACACCAGACTCCTCTTCGGTTGCTCTTGACAGGGGACACTTTCTCTGCTTGGTTTAAGACCGGATGGCGGAGAATTAAAAATCAGGTTGATGGGATGTGACTGCCAATCTGATCTCGTTTGCCATCTAATTTTGGCTCGAGTTATAAGCGAGCCCCGCCTTCAATCCATCCTTTGTCATATTATCTTCTTTTTATATGGTGAACGCAACTGATTACCAGGACAGACTGAAGGTCTGGCATGCCCGCCTCAATAACACAACCGACCTCCTCGTTCCTACAGACTATCCCCGGCCATTGCCGGCGCGTGTTGTGGAGGACGTTCAAACCCTTGAACTGTCAGAACAGACTCTATTGAGCATACTGCAACTGTCACTTGGAATACAACTAAAGGATGGCCACCCTACCCCATTCACCATTCTTCTTGCTACCTTCGCTGTCTTGTTGCAACGATACACGGGCGATGAAGAGTTTGCTGTTGGCACTTCGTCCGCTTCTGGCAACCCTCTGGTCCTCAAGCTAAACGTCGATCCTCAACAACCCTTTAACGAAGTTGTCAAGATGGTGTCGCAGGTAATGTTTTGAAACCAGGTTGAAGTTTAAGTAGGTAGATGAATGCGTTGCTGACCAAGTTGGCTTTTTAGGTGGAGGCTGATGCATTGGCGGATGAAGTTCCTTTTGAAGTCTTGTTGGATGCTATGCAGAAGGCGGCCGTTGACACAGAATCACAGAGACCATTGTTCAGAGTTAGATTCTACAACGAAACAGATACACCTTCACAAAACCTCTTGTCATCTACATCCTCCACATCCGACCTCACTATTTTCATCACCTCACCAACTGCCTCAACTTCATTGAGAACGTCTTTCCTCAAAGAGATCTCTATTCGCGTTGTTTATAACCAGATCCTCTTTTCCCCCAAGCGTATCCAATACATTCTCTCTCAGATAACCGCTGTTTTGGAAGCTGCTGCTAAAGATGCTCAAACAAAATCGGTTGGCCAGATCCCATTATCGGACTTTAATCAAGAATCTTCATCGCTTCCTGACCCCACAACAAACCTCCACTGGTCTCAGTGGCGTGGTGCCATCACTGACATCTTTGCTTCAAACGCCAAGAAGCACCCTGAACGTACCTGTATTGTTGAGTCCAATGACCAGGGCGGTCAAGTTGTTTACACATACCAACACATTCATGAGGCTTCCAATCTGGTTGCCCACTATTTGATCCACAAGGGCATCCAGCGTGAGGATGTTGTTATGATCTATGCTTACCGCGGTGTTGACCTTGTCATTGCCATTATGGGTGTTTTGAAGGCTGGAGCCACTTTCAGTGTCATTGGTAAGTTAGGGCTTGGAAACAGGATAGTGAAGTCGGGAGAAGACTAATGTCAATTTTTTAGATCCCGCTTATCCCCCATCTCGTCAGCAAATCTACTTGTCAGTGGCAACTCCCCGTGGTCTGATTTTCATCTCTCAAGCTGGTCAAATCGACCCCACAGTCCGTCAGTATGCCAAGGATAATTTGGATATTGTTTGTGAAATCCCTGGCTTGCATATCAACCAAGATGGCTCCGTAAGCGGTGGTCAATCTGCTGGATCCACGACCGATGTGTTTGATGATGTTAAAGAAAAGGCTGCCCAAGACACTGGTGTTGTGATCGGCCCTGATAGCATCGGTACACTTTCTTTCACCAGTGGTAGTACTGGTATTCCTAAGGGTAAGTCATATGAACAGTACAGTGTTAGTGCCGAGCATCGTGAAGAAAACAAACCACTCATGGCGTTCACTAGGTGTAAGAGGCCGTCATTTCTCTTTGACCCACTTCTACCCATGGATGTCTACTGAGTTTGGACTCTCCGAAAACGACAAATTCACCATGTTGTCTGGTATCGCCCACGACCCTATTCAGCGTGATATTTTCACACCATTGTTCTTTGGCGCCCAACTGCATGTGCCAACCACTGAAGATATTGGTATCCCTGGTCAATTGGCTACCTGGATGAACAAGGCCCAAGTCACCGTTACGCATTTGACCCCTGCTATGGGACAGCTTCTTTCATCACACGCTCAAGTTGAAATTCCATCCTTGAAGAATGCTTTCTTTGTCGGTGATATTTTGACCAAGCGCGATGCTGCTCGTATCCAAAAGTTCGCTCCCAACGTTGCCGTCATCAACATGTACGGAACCACTGAAACCCAGCGTGCAGTTTCTTACTACGTCCTTCCTTCCCGTGGCTCGCACCCAGCCTTTTTGAGCTCTCAAAAGGAAGTCATTCCTGCTGGAAAGGGTATGGTCAACGTCCAACTGCTTGTTGTTAACCGACATGATCGAAGCTTGATGTGCGGTGTTGGTGAAATTGGAGAGATCTATGTCCGCGCTGGCGGTTTATCTGAAGGATACCTTCGTCTTCCTGACGCAACCAACGAGAAGTTCTTGCCCAACTGGTTTGTAGAGAATTCTGGCGACGATGGCGTGATCGAGAGCCAAGTGGGTGGTGAAGAATGGAAGGAGTTCTGGAAGGGCAAGCGAGATCGCATGTATCGCTCTGGCGATTTGGGACGCTACAGACCTGATGGAAACGTTGAATGTACCGGTCGTGCTGATGACCAAGTCAAGATCCGTGGTTTCCGTATCGAACTTGGCGAAATTGACACACACTTGTCCCAACATCCTATGATTCGTGAGAACTGCACCCTGGTTCGTCGTGACAAGAACGAAGAACAAACTTTGGTTGCTTACTTTGTTCCAGTTCAAGACACGGATTCCATTGATGGATTTGTCAGCTCTACTGACGAGAATGAAAATAATAGCGAAGGCCTTGTGTCTCGTCACAAGTACAGACGCCTCATTCGTGACGTTCGCGAATACCTCAAGCAGAAGTTGCCATCCTATGCTGTGCCTTCTGTGTTTGTTCCTTTGACTCGCATGCCACTCACTCCTAACGGCAAGATCGACAAGCCTGCTTTGCCTTTCCCTGATACTGCTCAATTCCGAAGTGGTCCTGCCGCTGCTGAAAGCAAGGAAGTTGCAAAGGATGCGCCAAAGATGACACAAAACGAGACCATCATTCACAAAATCTGGCAGCAATTACTCCCTGCTCCTCCGGCACCCTACATTCCTCTTGATGATAACTTCTTTGACCTCGGTGGTCACTCTTTGATCGCCACGCGCTTGATCTTTGAGATTCGTAACGCTTGTCAAGTTGATGCCCCTCTGGGTCTCGTTTTCAAGGAGCCTACTATTCGTGGACTGGCTAAGGAAGTTTCTAGACTTCAAAACAGCGACTTGCTGATTGACGATGAAAATCCAGAGTCTAACAAGACTGATGAGGAGTCCAACAACCAAAAGGAAGTAGTTGATTATGCCGCAGACTTGGAAGCCCTTTGTGAATCACATCTGTCGACCTCTTACCAAGGTATTGCACCCCGTGAGGGTTCTGAACGTACCGTAGTTTTGACCGGTGCAACTGGTTTCCTCGGTGCATTCATTCTGGCTAAAATCTTGGAACAACCTAATACCCGTGTGATCTGTGTTGTCCGTGCCAAGGACAGTGCTGCCGCTGTAGAGCGTGTCAAGAAGTCATCTGAGTCCCATCTTGTCTGGCAAGATGCTTGGCTCGCTGATAAACGTGTCGATGCAGTCTGTGGTGATTTGGCAAGCGACCACCTTGGCTTGAGTGCCGCTGATTGGGAGAGACTTACCACCGAGGGTGATACCGTCATTCATAATGGTGCCCTTGTCCATTGGGTCTATCCTTACCAGCACCTTCGTGCTCCCAACGTCATCGGTACCCTTGAAGCAATGAAGCTTGCAACAGAACACCACCAAAAGTCTTTCCACTTTGTCTCATCGACTTCTGTCCTCGATACACAGCATTATGTTGAGCTCTCTGATGCTCTTACCGAGAAGCATGGCCATGGTGTGTTGGAATCTGACGACCTTGATGGCGCCCGCAACGGCCTTGAAACTGGTTACGGTCAAAGCAAGTGGGTTGCTGAAAAGCTCATTATGGAGGCTCGCAAGCGTGGTATGCCAGCTACTATTGCACGACCAGGATATATTCTGGGTGACTCCAAGACCGGTGTTACCAACACAGATGACTTTGTGTGGAGACTCATGAAGGGCTGCACAGAGCTTGGTTATATTCCATCTATGAGCAATTTGATCAACTGCTGTTCTGTTGATTATGTTGCTGCCTCCGTCGCTGCATTTGCCTTGGATGATGTTAACTCTACTTCACTCGGTATCTTCCACATCACTCATCCCCCTACCTTCCGTTTCACTGATTTGTTCGGCACTTTGGTTCGATATGGCTACCACTGCGATCAAACCGAATACATTGACTGGCGCAACCGCTTGATGGAGTACACCCTTAAGGCACAAGATCACTCCTTGTTCCCACTTCTCCATTTCGTTTTGGATGACCTTCCCACTTCAACCAAGAGCGCTCAGTTGGATGATAGAAATACTCAGGCCATTGTGTCCAAGCAAGGCATCACATGCCCTATCATGGACGACCAACTTTTCGGCGTGTACTTTGCCTACCTTGTCAAGGTTGGCTTTATGCCAGCTCCTCCAGCTGGAGCTGAGTTGACTCTACCCGAACTCACTGCAGAGGTCACTCAGCTTAAGCGTAGCGCTGCGCATCAGTAAGCTCTTACCAGCGTATAGAACCCTCTCTCACTGACATCTTGGGGCTTATTGCGCAATCAATAGTGTATAAAAAAAAAAAGGAAATTATATTGTACATTTTCTTGATTCAACCTGCTTCATTCTGAAATAAAATATTCATAAACAAAAACTATCATTATGATATGTATTAGTTAACTAGTTTTTGTACTGTACAAAACTCCTCATGACAAGAAAGAGCCACAATCAGTGGGTTTTTCCCGTCATCCAAGTAGCTTGATGATACTCCGACCCATCCAACTTCGTCGGGCATGCTATATTGCCACCCCTTCGTGTAAAATGGAGAGAACCATCGAGCGACTTCCTTGCAAGGTTTCCAGCGTAGCAAAGCGTTCTTTACTAAGAGATATAATTGCTATAGAATCGTTCTGGCCCATGGAAGAGTGCAGTAGCTGGGCAAGGTCCGTGTCGTTTACTGGTGCCACCATATGTCGAGCGATGACTGGTAAAGCTGCAGAACGCGTCGATGACATGAACCCGACAATTGACATGGTGGACGTCGAGGCTAAGGCAGGTTTACAGTGCACAAGCGTGGTGAGGTAGCCCAAGTTGAGTGTGCATTTACTCGAATTGTCTGGTTGATCCATGTAGCTCGATCATGTACTGGCAGTAAAGTATTTTTACGGTCGAAAAATTTAGGGACAGGCTTTACTTAGGGTAGAGGGGAAAAGTGACCATCTTCAAAGTGATGTGATATACTCTTCCAGCAGTAAACTATAGACATTATCTTACCACTGTGAGCAGGAGCTTCAGTAATGTTACGGTAAACGCAAATTATTGCGAATGACAAGTTGAAGCCTCTCTACCGGCATAATACCATTGCGACAAAGAACCGTTGGTAAACGATGTATCGTTCATGACAACCATCAAGTGCGCGTTCGATACACAACGTGTAGAAGTAGTGATAGATACTCAAAGGTCGTCGATAATATGGATATGCACTCGGGGCCACTAGGAAGGATGGTCATAGCGGTTTGACTTTCATGCTATTACAATAGACCGCGAAGTGCAACCTGTTGAGGCTGCATAGCAGCGGTAAGATACTTGTTGATAAACTTGCACAACGAACATAAACAATCCAACTAGCAGTTATGCAGTGTTTGGTCATGTATGGTTGTAATCAACCAGCAACAGGTTTGAAATTCAATAGTTGCCGGTGCATTTCCTTTTTTTTTTTTTGTGGGATGCCGATTTTACCTAGAGTTTTTCAGAACTTTGCGCATTTCAAAAGCGCTTGCTGTTTGACTGCTCTCACTTTCTTTTTCTCTTCTCGTCAAAATGGAAGACAACGATAATAATAATGTTGGACATCACGCTCCACCTGATCTTTCTACAAAACCCGTTAAGGGCATTCTCAAGAAGTCCTCGAAGTTCGCTCAAGATGCTGCGGCGTCTAGGTATGTTCTTTTTGCAGTCATGCTAACAAACTCCTTCGCAGTACAGAACTCCTCTCTCCGCTGCAACTGTACCCACAGCCGTGATCTAACTTGTTTTCCTCTCTATCTATCGCTTCTAGACTCAAATGGGACGAGAATAACTTGATGTTGACTGAAGCCCAAAAGGATTCAACTATGAAAGTGGATGAGCCTAAAACTCCTTGGATACACTATAACGCTGATACCGATGAGGTCAGCATGGATGGTATGTTCAGCTTACAGGATAAGCACACGAGATTACTTCGCGGCAATAAATTTCTTAGCTAACTATCGTTTTGCACCTAGGAATTACGCCCATGCAGCTAGCTTCTCGCGAAGAACCTGAAGACGATTTTGCATTGGATGATGGTAGAGGCAACGAAAGCGATCGTTCAAGTTCGTCCACAGGCTCTAAACAAAGAAGACGAGTGTCTGTTAGCGATGATGACTGGGATACCGATGACATCGAAGAAGATGAAGAAGGTGAGTCTCTATGCATTTCACACAGTTTGTTGCTTGTTTGACCAGGATTGACTAATATAGATTGTTTGCAGCTAAGAAGCACCATGAAGAATTTGAACGGAAACGTGCTCAACACTACAATATGGGCAACGTTTTACGTCACCCAGCACCACCTGTTGAAGATGAAGAGGCCCTCCCTGAACAAGACAAGGTAGCCGAAGCCAACGCTGCTCATAACATACATGTGCCAGCCAACGGTACGACGAACAATATGGACCAAGACTGATAATCCCATGCAGTTTGTCGATGAGCTGTAGTGTGCATTTAATGTCGTGTTTCTATTTCCTTGGATGTCTTTACACACTTTGTGATCTTTTTGGTTCACTCCTTGTCTTCTCGTTATAACCCTCCATACCTTGCTATATGATAGCCATACGAACAAAAGCAACAAAATAGTTTGGATGCAATAAAATATGGTAAAACATCAAAAAAGCATGTGTTAATCCAATTTTTATCAACCATGGTATCGTGGATATTGAGATAAAGCCATGTAAGCTAACTCGACATTCAGGACAAAGGCTCAGTTATTTCCATGCTCTTCAGAACTTTGAAGTCTCCCATAGTGTAATATTGGACATTGATTCAATGGGTGGCGATTTGATCACGGGATCACAATTCCAGCACGAAATTTTGAACACCTTCGAGACGGTATCCAAACATTTGACTTTCCATGCATGTCGCAGATTAAATCACTGTCAGGAATTACTATTCTACCGTGTTTGGCTTCTTTTGAGACTCCTGGTTACGACGCTGACATTTCTAGTATTGGTCTACATTCCATGGATACCGTGTCCACAAGCCAGGGAGGTTACAGTGCTGATGGTGAAGACAAAGGACAAATCACCCGCGTCAATCGAGGCAAACTTGCACGTCAAGTATCCAGTGAAACCATTTTTGCGAGTGACGATGAAGAAGATGTCAATTGGGGTCTTATTTTAGCCCATATCGATGGACAACAATCTGATAAAGGCAACCCGGCCTCTCAAAGCACCGTATCGTTTAAACTCGAAGAAGAGACCGAAACAATTGACATACTGCGCAGCCAAAATGGCACGGAGAACTTTGCTGCCATAAAGCAGCATGAGGCAGAATTACAATCTCGCTCACGTACATTATCTGACCACGCGTCACCTTTATCAAATCGACCTAGTCAAGACCATGACAGCATCGCCATAGACAACCTGCATACAAATTCTAAGCTTGACTCAACAAAAACGTGCTATATGGAGGAGGAAGACGAAGAATTCGAAGAGACTCAAGTCTATTCTGTCCACGACCCTTTGGAAGAACATGAAGATCTCGATCACGAACCAAATGCCACTGATGACGGCGTATCAAAAAATGTCGACCAATGCGAAGAGGAAGCAAGGAAGCCAAATAGTCAACACAGCGAGGATTATCCTGAAACACAGGTCTATGACGTCTATGAGCCTCTCACCCAAAATGATGAAGATCCCACAGATGTCATTGTGAAGGCTTCGATGGAGCAAACTATCGCACGGAACGACAATAACTCGTCAACGGTGCGACAACAGAGTACTCTCAGTATGACATGGACTTTGGATGGTATGCGTGTTGCAGATAGCGGTATGTGATATGAACAATAACCTAGCCAAATATACTGTCATTCATCTTACTCATTCATTTACATCAGATTCCCATACTGCAAACTCACTTCACATGGATATGGAGCAACGTGACGAAGTCAAAGTGAGCGAAAGGAATAAGAACAGTGGTTATGTTCTCTACAAAGGCACCCAGAGCCTAATCAATTCGTTACACGCATCTCAACAACTACCAGACGACATTGATTATGTGGAAACAAGTGACTCTGAAGAATTGCACGACAATGCAGCGTCTTTGGCTGGTTCTCAGCGCTCTATGAATGTTGCTGACAATGCTGGAGACATATTAGCGGAGGTTGACTCGCCCAAAAAATTGCAGGCAGTAATTCAGTCAACCTTTCCCAGTTCTATTGAGGATATGGAAGACAGGCTTGCAAGTCGTTATGTGAACAACAATTATCACGACCCAACGGCAACTCACGAGACACTACAAAGCTCTCAACAATCTACATCCTCATCTTCGCAGCAAAAGAAACTAGCATTTGATAGGGTAGTGAAGAAGCCGAGAGACACTCGCAAGCGCTCCAGTGCCAGATTGGATGACACTATGACCAATAGCACCTCCGCATCCAAAGCAGATGATACTGAAAGTTGGCCACCCATACCAAAACGTCGTCCGGTTTTGGGGCTCGCAAAACCGTCTGCGACGTCTACTGTGCGTGCCACTAAAAGTAACGCAACACGACTTTCACCGAAGCCGCCAGCAAAAGCTACTCGACGTTTGTATGGCGTCAACCACCGACGGAAGCCAACACCCCGACAATGACAGACGCTTCTGCATGTCTTTTGTCATTACTTGAACCCTTATTAATCCTCCTAATATGTATATAAGCTATAGAGCGCGGCAATGATCGATCAATTCGTAATATATTCAATTTTGTACATATCCCCTTCCTTACCGTACCTTCAACCGCAATCTAAATGTTTTCAACTTTACTTAACTTGCAACTTTGGTTCAATCCGTGTATCTGCTGGATTTGCCATTAAGCACGTAATGCATTGACTATTTTACGCGAGACAGAGCACTAGTAGCAGCAGGGTTTCTGAGTATGCGCATTTAAAATCGGGAGACACCAGACATTGACAAAGCTCCTCTTATTGTTTGATGCATTTATTGATGTACTCAATTACATACTTGCTATCCATATGTCATGATTGAGCCATCTTTGAACAAGTGAAGCCGCAATAGAGTTCTCTATAAGATGATCGCTCTTTGTCGGCCAGCCATAGCCATGCCAGGTCCATCATTTCCTTTCTTTTTTTTTTCTTTGCATCATTGATGTATCTCATACTACGTGCTTCGAGGTTAAATGATAAACTCATTCTTCAGTGAATTAAATGCTGATAAAAGTCGGAGGCGCAACCATAACGGTTTACCATCCACACAAACAATTTTGGAAGTGTAGCCAACCCATCAAAGGCAGAATGCGCATAGGTATTATCACGCTATGATCCTGATTATGCTGATAACAGGGGAGCGGCAATCATTCGTTGAAGACTCCATTACGAAGATAACGTAGTGGATGGACGACTTTGGGAGAACTTATGAAAGTGACCACATTGGCCGAATTGCATCTCTTTCGTCATTGATACTTGGATTAAGCAAAAGAGATAAAGATATCCTTCAAATTATAAGGGCATTCAACTAATAGAAACTTTTAAAAAAAAAGGAATTATATGATCTGGAATGCATGGAGATGCAGAATCCGATTGTTTTCGAGAGATACTCAATGTGAGAGCATGGTGCTGAAACTTTTCTTCACACCATAGAGACCTTTGGTATTTTGAATTCAGGCTTAGCCAAAATTGCACTGAGATGGTATTTTATATGATAACTAGTCGTTTACAACGCTTGAAAGGTAGACCTTCTTAAACTCTTTCGTTTGCATGCATCAAAACATTAATGATAGCATTTGCTTACAGTGCCTTCTTTATCACCGTGGTCCACCAAATAGCGCACGGCAACACTGATATCAGACAAACAATAAATGGGATGATACTGAAAACGTTAACATACACAACAATCTAGACGTTCCTGTTAAAAGTGGAAGTCAAAATGAGGTCGCACACTTTTGAAAAATAAAGTACAGGATGGCCAGACATTTTACGTATTGCTTATGTTACAGTACCTTTCCACGATGGAGCTATCCAAGTAAGGCGCAAGCTCGTAAGATGGCCGCGCATTCTCTCAAGTCTTATTGATTATTTGAAGTTTTGCATGTCGCCTTCTTGCCTGAAAATGGAATTGAAAAATTCTCTTTGTTTAAAGCATTTATTATATATTCCCACTGCAGAAGAACTAAGAAAAAGGGACATTTCACTCAAAAGACCTATCTTTACTACGACACACGACTCCGTGTCTAGCAATGCCGCAAGCTACTTCTTCACGTATACCTGTATCGGAGATGACCTTTATCTCTGATTTCTACTGGCTGACTTCTGATTCTTCTACCTCCATACTGATGATGGTACGCTTCTTCTCGAGCCTTGCATTTTCCTGTTTCCAAAGATTAGTAGATTTTTGGCTTACATACCTATCTGTATTCTCCTCATTTGAGTATTTTGGATCTGCCTGCCTTTGATGCTCGACTCTGTTTTTTTCGGACTGATAAACAAGAAACAGTCTGGAAGCCGTTTTCACTTGGTATCTCACTTCTGCTTACTTACTGCTTTTCTGGAGACCGAGATACGCTACTACCATGATAGCAATGCCGCCGCCGCCTCAAGTCCATTCCAAAGGCCATCCAAAATCTACAGTATCCAGGGTCCTACTCGGCAAGGCGGCCGTACAAGCCTTTTGAGCTATCATACCTCGTACGATCGTCTAATATTTTGAGATATTTATCGCTATCTCTACCCAGCATGCTCTCGAGTATATACTTGCATCTAGAAGCGGCAGGGACAAAGTTCCCGCTCGGCTTCGTCTGCTGGACATTTTCAGAAAAATAAAGATTATAACAGGCTATGAAGACATCCATATTACAAATCGACCAAAAATACGACCAAGTTCAAAAAAAGTTGAAGGTGCAATATTTCCTCGATTTGAAGTAACAGTTGTCCAATCCGA